GAGGAGACTGGGACTCGTCTGACTTCGACCTTCCTGACATGATTAGATTAGTTTAGATCTTCGGCTTAACAAAGGCCATCTTCACTCGATCACAGAGATGCACAAGCTATCACACCGCGTCAAGGTGCAGTCTTATCGTGATGGGGCCCCAGTTGACTTCTGTCAAATCATCTTACTCCGGGCACACGTGATATCAATGCCCACCACTCAGGTAAATGATACCTGGGAATCTCATACATGAGTTGCTTAAACCGTATATCTTTGATCGCATGAAAGGTATGGACAAGACCTGTCACAACCGTGTTGTATTATGTTTACGCAATAGGGTGACGGGAACACGAGCACATGCGTTTCTTGCGTCCAAGGGAAAGAGCGCTGATGCTTAAACAGCTTGTTGTTAAGAGGTTCATCAAATTTAGATATGCGAAAAATGTATGTCTTGCCAGGAAGTACTATTCGGAAGAAAAGGATAAAATAAACGGCGGAGTGGGGCACACTATTTCCCGACGATAAAGAGAACTCTGTTGGGTACGGTTATTTTGCGTTTCACTAGAGTTCAGAGGTTAATAAACAGAGGAAGATGAGGCGGTCGGTATTAGGAAACGGTGGTAGTAAGAATGAGTTTGGGGCCAGTGAGTTAACAAGAGCTTGAGCTCTTCAATAGCTAAGAAATCGCAATGCAGGATATTGAAATAAGAAGGGGGCGAACTTCTTCGAAAGCTTTGTTCATGGGTCAATATACTTAGTGACCGGTCAATTTTTCTGCCTTCTGGTAAGTAAAACATTGTACAGGTTTCTGTGTGGTTACCAAACACTTAGCGGTTGCACAAAAGGATGATGGGGACGAGTTATTAACGCCAACTGGCTCGTGTTCCTCCTGAATACAGCAATCGTGATCGAACCAATACGAGTGTCGTATGCCAAGCTTGGCACAACAGAGGAGGACACACGCCGAAGAATAGGAGTTGTAAAATTGGGAGTAATGAAACCGTATTAGAATCGAAGAAAGTCATTCCAAGAATAAGAGAATAGGAATTCGCAGTAAGCTGAGTCTTATCACCAAAATGGGTCATCATTATCATCGTTCGGCGTAATACAATGAGGTGAAATTCACTTATCCAGGCCAAACTCAATGCATACAAGTAAGTGAAAATGTATAAGGAGTATATGGATTGGGCCTATTTTTACGGACGGGAAAAGAAAGCGAACCTCAATGCTCAGCAAACAAAGTACACAGTCCAACAGGGTATACACGCGTTTTCTGGTCTGATAAGAAGTGACAACAAGAACGCAACTGCTGCCGGTTTGCTACCATGACCTTCAGCGTCTCCGACCATCCAGTTACGGAGTCTTTTAGACCCCGACCGGAACGCGAGAAACACTAACTAATCGCTCTGTGCATTGCTTCATGCCTCACGTGGCTTTCTCTATTCTGTGGCGGCCACTGCAAATAGGGCGCTGTGTGGTAAATAACCGTTAAACACACGACAACGGAGCTAAATTCGATGCGATTGCGAACTATTGCTCGATGCATTTCCAAACACCCGACGACTTACGTCTACGTTACTATTCCGATGTGAGCCAAACTACGTAAGCATCGATTGTCGAAACCACTAGGCGACGGATGTCTGCGAATTCAAGGTCTCACAACCGTAAAGCAGAACTGATCGTACAGTGGCGCAGTACACGCGACTTTTCAACTTCACTGAAACGTCACGTCGCCGCCACAGGTGTTTTAGTCCTGCATAAGCTGCTCGAGCTTTGGAAATGCGGGCGGTTATCTCCTTTGATGCGCTACCGTCGTGTCACGCTGCTACACAAGTACGAGAAGAAGTCGACTTCAGCTAATTTTTGACCGTCCAGTTTCAAAACGGGACTCGGCACTTTGAAGGTGAAAAGTACGTGCCGAACGGAGCGACAGAATTTACTAGTTCGTCAAGTGCGGTTCGCGCGTCCTCCATACGTTCGAACAAGCAAACGACATCCTTAGCGCACTCCAAGTCACACAGCTCATCTCCAGCTACTCATTAAATGCCAATATTTTGGAGACCATTCAGTGCGTTCTCCGGCATTTCGTTTATAACGAAATTGAGCAGGAATGACGAAAGAGGGCACCCTCGACGAACATCGCTGCTAGTTACGAGCGATCTAATCACCCCGCCGTAGACCTTACGCTGCCAGAAATATGCCAGCAGAGTAACCTCAGTATTTCGGCATACTTCTGTGGAAAATCCTTTACGCAGGAGCTAGCCCTTAAGAGATTCGCGGTCAACTAAGTTCTTTTAGGTCAAAGAACACGACAACCGCCGGTCGACGGTGTATCGCGTAGCTTGAAAATTTGGTCGATACAACGGCAACTGGTCGAGATTCTGCTTTTGTTCACGGATAGTTGTCTCTCCAAACAGTGTCAAGCGTCGAAGTATGACGGAGGCGAACAATTTGGTTTTCGATGGGGGTTAAACTCATTCCATGGTGGTTTGCGCAGTCACTGAAACGACCAGTGATTCGCTCCAGGATGACGGAGTGTGCCCTTGTGACCAGACGATACGCATCAAATCAGTATTGGAATATGCGAATTCGTGGCCTAATCTTGAGAAGAGTGGCAGAAAGCCCGTCTGGTCCTGCTTATTATTTGATTGCACTCTCCGCTCTATCGAATGATACCAACTACTTAAGCATTTGTTCAGCACACCTGGAGTAGTAGCCCCACTTTTGTCGCAGATTGGTTCACTGCGGTTCGCAGACCCGTGTTGCGTATCAGTCGGAACAGTCTTTGACTATTCCCCGATGCAGCTGCTACTTCCACTTCATCAGCTATTGTCGCACAACGGCTTTTACGGTCGTTCTTCAGGCTCTTCTTGAGCTGACGTCGCAGATGCCACCTAATCCTGTCAGGTCGGGATTTGTCACCTTCATCAGTGCTACTGACTCAGATATCCAACGCCTAGGACGGGCTTAGCAACCCTCACTGCGGATTGCATTGCTCGACTAATCTAATCCCATTGTTCATCTACACGATCACCCCGCAGCGCGTTTAGCTCTTGCCCTCGTTCTGATTCGAAACGGGCACGAACGGATGGGTCAGAAAAGCGATGATCTGCTAATCGAGTTTGGTGGGATTTTCTGCGACCACTGAGTTGGAAAGTGAACTGCATCAAAATTAACGCATGATCAGATTCAACACAGGTTTTCTAATAGGACCTGCAATTTTGTACTGAGCCACGCCAACGGTAGCTTACTGCTATATGGTCGATCTGAGTTAGCGAGCCGGTCGAATTTGAGCGTTAAGTTGTTGTCCGTTGAGAGCTGTGTCGGAAGTTGGTGCTAGATAGGAATAAATGATGACCTGCGAAGAACTGAAGAATTCGATCGCTATTATCTGTTCGATGGCAGGGCAGAGCACAAGGAACGACTAGGCAGGCTTCCGATGCGCCCAGTCTTCCAACTGGCGCATTACAATCACCTGCGAGCACAACTATATCGGAGCTTCGACTAAACCGAGTGAGTTCGGTGAGTTTATCATAGAACTCGTCCCTTTGTGCGTGAGAACTGCAGTTGGTCGGTGTATACGCTGAAAGGACGAATACAACACCTTTTCGTGTTGCTTCCCTTCCGGACGCTGATAGACCCTTGGAGCCGCATCGCACATAAGCTATTACTGTCGAGGATAACTGACAATTCGGCTGCATCATTGAGCACAATGCCACGCTGGTCTGCTGAACGGGCTTCGTCGTCGCTTGATGTGGGCGGAATTGATGGACGGGTAGATGCAGGTTGCCTGGCCACCGAAATGGGTGGTGAAGCCAGTTTGCTGTTCAACCAAGGAGCACGAGAGGTAATGGAAAGACTGAAGATAAGATCGGCGACAAAGTCGTATATTAAACATTTGGCTTGAGTTGTTCTCCGGAGCGATTGACGCCGCGACCCTCATTGCTGATTCAAAGGCGCACTATACAGGATAAAGGAGACATTGATGACTTCAATGGTTGTTTGTGTGGCCCGGTACAGGACTTGTCTACCCACAGGGTAAAACCAAGCCGACAGAGTCGATAGTTCCAAATTAGTCTCAATATGAACCTCGTTTGTTTGACGCACACTGGACACCACGTAAATATATGTATCCACACGTTCACGTCGGTCTGGTAACACGCACGGTAACAATGCAACAAATGGGGAAACGGTTAACGGAGAAGTTCATCCATTGTTTCACTGTANTTTGACGTCTTGTTATCCTCGTGGGATGAGATTCGAACGACCAATCCGTAGAACATTCACAGCACTGACTTCCATTCAGGACCACATTTATCGTCTCTAGATAACAAAAGTCCTTGCCATGTAGATGAAGTAATCAAGCTGATTTTTCAGGTTCGATGAAGCGGCCCGGATAGGTTATACGAGCATTAACTGTGACAGCCTTGGTCTCTGAACTAACTGAGTGGGGGGGGGTTGATAAAAGCCCATTTGCCTTGGGTTCTCGGACAGGGCGGCACGTGACTATCGCCAACAAACTAAATAGGATTGAGTCACATGGCCAAAGAAACGTTTCTGCAACTCTCATCAGTTCGGAACTGCTCATATGATATACAAACAATCGCGCGTTCCACACAATTCGATGTCGTTCTTTCAATCATCGCATATAAACGGCATGACTATGAATTATCATTGGTTTGTGTAATCATAATAACTGGCTGCTTATACAGCGACAGCCAAAGCCTAGCCTAGAATTTATCGTAGCTCAAAGGAATATACATCGCCTGCGGTGTATATCAAACTTGCGATCTGGCTTGAGGCAACCAGGCATTTTACTTCACGTGCCTCGATGGTTACTCGTTCACCGATATCCCAACAAAGTATGAAGTATAACCACAAAGAGTAAAATTTTTATTCGGGTCATCGGTCGTTTATCCAGTCATATTACCAGCGGTTCAAAAAGGGAAATCACTAAGCATACTATGACCGAATGTTAAAATTAAATGACTAGAGATTATTCACAAGACTGTTCAATTTTGCTTTTTTCCTTGGTTCGCGACACGCGAAATAGCCGCGGCGACAGTGGCTTCATCGGCGAGATAATAGTGTTTAATGGGTTTTAGGCTCGCGTCCAGTTCATACACAAGGGGGATACCTGAAAAAAAATCACAAAGGTTGGTCACCTAACTGCTGGATTGCAAAATGTTACACGCATAGGATTTGAATGAGTATCTCACCTGTCGGGATGTTCAGCTCCAATATATCTTTATCGGAAACGTTATCCAAAAACTTCACCAATGCTCTCAAACTGTTGCCGTGAGCGGCGATGACCACACGTTTGCACGCCTGGAATGTCAAAAACGAATGTATATGGTGGGCGCGAGTGTAAGCAATTCTATTTTTAGAAAAAGCACATGCGACGTATCGATTAATTCCACTAGAAGGATTTGCACTGTTGTCCGATATGCCAAACCAGCAATCGATAAACGCTTAAGTGCAGGATGTACAGTACAGGACTATCGATCGAACGTCTAGATGCCTAAAATAACTCCAGTGGTATGATGCAGCATCAAAACGGCTAATCGCAACAAAGCAGGAAAGTAATGTGGAATTGCGAGAACTTACTTTGATGTCAGGGACGATACAATCGAACCAACACGGTAAAACGCGCTCCACAGTATCTTTCAGACATTCCGTAACAGGAATGCAGCTGGTGTGAAGTGACTGGGAATTGTGTAAGGGATTCGGGAGAACACGATCAATATAAATGGTTATAATAGCAATGTTTTAATCTAGGTCGTTCTACTAAGGTGCAACAGTGGGCACAAATCTCTCGTACTTTATCTCTGTACAAACCAGCACTAACGCCTAAATCGCTGCGCGTGGAAGGCTCCACATAATGGTGCATTTGGTCTTGGCATATCGATGCCATAAGGTTTTTATTTGAAGTACAAGTTCATTTTTAAAGGCCAGCAGGGCTATCCGTGGTCTAAATCAGCACTGTGCAGCAACTGAAACCTTAACGCTTGGTGAAAAGGCAAGTGACAAACTAACAAAGCGGAGCATTGTTCTCTGATCGTTGATATCAGATGTTTGGTTCCGCGAAACTTTTCATTTGCTTCATACTGTCTGAAATCTGACAGCCAAATAAGTTCGGAGTGTACAGCCAACAGGACTGCGCATTTATGATAGCTTCAGATGTTATATTTTGGTTACCCATGACGAACGAGGAGTTACGCAAATGTTTTAAAAGCGGACGAGTGAAATAGAAAATATATGAGTGAGTCAACGGAGTAGACGGGGAAATGTTATGGTTTTAAAAGCCCGCACTTATCAAGCGATCTCCGTTCATTGAAGATGCTGACTCAGTAAGTCCACTAGTCAACTTTTCCATATATTCACACCGGGTTATAGTGACCGAAATAATTGTTTCAACGAACGCATCGAAAAAGTGTACATTTTTAAAGTAACGCAATATGCAGCGGTTGTGTAACGGTTAGTACACGACTAAAACTAACCAATATTCTAGTTCTAACTATAGCGTTTGTTTTTCTACCAAACTTGTGGATTACAGCGCCAACAATTTGTTTGATCATCAAAGCGAGGGGAGGATATGCCGACCTCGGGAGTTGTAACTGGGTCGGTGAAGCCCCGGTAGTTCGCATGCCATAGTTAGTCATAAATCCGGATTGCAAACCAACCAAGAACAGGCGTATGAACCACAAAGACACCTCGTTCTTTGTTTCAGTGGTTATCGGCATATTGGGTTTTTTGAACGTCTGACTCCATCCGAATGGTGTCTGATTCAATGAACTAGACACCAGCCCCGAATGAACCGCGGATTTTATACACCACTTTACTGCCCGGCAGGTTAAGCTTTGGTTAGCCGACTGTGAAGTTCCAAAGAAAAAATTCACCTGATTTGCCTGGGCAACCCAGCAGTATCACATGTATCTGCAACTCATTAACTTTGTGTTTGTTGTAAAGATTATTGTACCGTGACTTGGCACACAATCTGGACTCAGACACGTGAGAAATATAACGAGTAATATAGGAGATAATCTTGTCCACGATCATGCTTCTGCACCATAGTGGCAAAAAGCTGTAATGCACACTCAACTGTTTACGGATAAATGGGTGCCACGATAGCATGAGCGCCTCAGGTTAAAGAATGCTACGATGAGGACGACTTGACACTTCAAAGGATCGAAGCATGAATTAAAGATTACCAAGTTATACGTCGTATGAGTAACTTACATCAACCAAGCAGACCGATACTACTATTCTGACAACGATGTCTCGAAAAAAGATATGAAGCACAATGTTTGGAGGTGAGGAGAGACGGTATCATCAACAAACACCTTTCGTGTTGGATTTGGAACCGTAAGGACCCATTGAATCTGGACTATACTCAGGTATTGAACATACGTTGGCGAATTCAAATGATACCAAAAGTGGTAAAGCACCATGAGAATGACTTATTTCAACATGACGCGGGTTATTTATTCGTTTCCAACTGCAGTAATGAAACTAAGACGTGACATGAGAGTATGAGGCCGTATCAGGAGACTTCCTCAAAACCGTCATATACGCCTCTGGCTGTTTATCTTCGGGTAATAGCAATCGAGGTCCAGATACACTGAGTGATATGGCTGGGTGTCTTATACATTGGCGCTCGTGTAGTTACTTTTTTCCTTTTGTTTTATTTTATTTTATTGGATATATAATGATAAGATTTTCAAGACGGGGGAAGTGACCAATCAAAGGGCTGTTATGCAACAGCATCGGGTAAGTAAGGGGGTGGTGGTAAGGGCCAAACACGTTCTCCAGGGCAATAATTTGATGACCTTTACCAATGGGTCATCACCGCTTTTGCACCGTCTACATGAATTATTCATTTTCATCATTACACTGCTTCCAGCATTCCAATCTTCCTTCTGTCTCTTCATCCAAATTAGCGGCAGATGACAGCAACCAAAACTGACGCACGAATGGTTGTTCAAAATGAACTGAACTGCATCCCACTTAATCTTACTGGGTTTGTCAGAAAATACTGAAAACAGTTTAAAAGTTAACCGAAACCCTTAACGCACTGAGAAAAGTACATAGGATGAACACTTACGGCGTATTTCGCTTCGTTACCAGGCCAACGGGCATCGCTTGTGGCGAGCGCTGGAGGAGGAATGTCGTAAGCTCGTCGCCAAATCTTCACTTGTTCTTCTCCGTGTTTTTCAGCGGTTTCCGCCTTATTTAAACCTTGAAGTGCGCCGTACATACGTTCATTCAGACGCCAGCATCTGTATGAAAAGATGTAGGGAATTGAATCTAGTCTAACGACAGTGCTTATCAATGACAAATTCCGCGGGTTTGAACCACGTGCGTTCAACTAGTGGAAATTCTGAGTCATCCAGGATTAGTTAACTTCAACGATGGGGAAACTTATTGTCGGCGGTGTATTTTAACAATAAACTAGCTGATTTCAAACAAAACAGTTAGTATTAATCACTTCCACCGGGAAAAAATTAGTGGAAAGCATTCCGGATCTTTTGTTTGACAACTGCGTTGGCTAATCCCCAGGTTACGGTTTTCTTGGCTTAGGACAACTAACGGATATAGGAGTTTCGAGTATCGGAAAATGAATGGTGGGTCAAGACACAGTAGCTATGGAAACAGGTTGAGGGCATTTTGAATTAGATGCACAGGCGATTAACGGAGGGGAACTGGAAGTGAACGAGCTACGTCTGGTCGTGCAATAAAGAATGATAAATTGCCTAGTACAAAATCCCACAGACCTAGTTTCAAAATATTCCGTCTGATTAAAAAGTTCTAAGTATATTGGTTGTTTTTAGTTTCAGTTTGAATATTGGTTGTGTGGTCAACAGAGGTCTAACCTACCGTACGCGTATTCAGAATACTGAGAAAACCGTTAATTGAGTGGTTTCGACTACAAAACTTCACGACGAGACTACATCTTGACGTGGTGTGATGGTTTGTGCACCTCTGTGACCCAACGCGCTACACAGGATGGCTTTATCAAGCCAGGAGAGATCTAATCTAGCCTGGAAGGTTAATGGCTAGAGGTTAGACGAAGTTCAGTCTCCTGGTCCTCCAGATTGGGGGTTCGACTGGAATTGGTGTTTCTGTCGGTAAAAAGCGGTGGAGAAGTAATCGATCCAAGTAAATGGGCCTCTACTTCGCCTAACCCGCTGCCTTGCGGTTAGGTTCTTGTTAGAACTTAAGGGTTTAGACGAGAACCCTAATCGTTCTCCTGCTTAGTGGCTGGACACCCTAGCAGTACCCGTCCACCAAACCCCACTGCATAAATAAAATTAAAATAATTTCATACTGCATCGGTCGTCGAGCAGGATAATCAGGACCGCGCGGCCTATTGCATCGAGCGGGATAGGCAGCGATAAGTGGGCTACTGCTCAGATATCCCAACCTTTGTTTAGCTCTTATTGTACCGTACGCAACTCCTCCCCTTTACCCCTTCTTCGACCTGTAATAGGCCCTCAAGCAACTTGGATGTCGCTCACCAAGGTTGTTGCCAAGTAGCACTGTAAGTAATTAACCACGAAATGGATTGCAGATTCTAAATCCTCGTCAATCACTCAATCTGGGGGCTTTCAACGTGAGGACTTTGATGCAGGTAGGTCAACAAGCTTGTCTAGCGTACAATGGAATCTTTAGGAATCGACATTTTCTGCGTGTCGGAAACTTGAATCCAGGATCCTACTACTATAAGCCACTTGAGTGCGCCAGATTTATCGACGAGATACGCTCTTCGCACATCGTGCAACGATGAATCTCGTTCAGTAGGTCAGCACCTCAAGCCCGCCGGAGGCACTGGATATCTCAAGAGTCAGTAGCCCTGATGGAGCAAAAACGGCAAGTCCCGACCTGCCAAGAGCAAAATAGAGTTAGGTGGCATCTACAATGTTAGCTCACGAAGAGCCTCAAGGACCGTGAAAACTGGTGGGCAACAATAGCTAGTGAAATGGAAGTAGCAGCGGTATCAGGGAATAGTCAAAGACTGTTCCGATTGATACGCAATACGGGAAGTCGGAGAACTTCAGTTGGTGACGAGCTATTCACAATAGGGATCGACGACTCGATTGCTGGGTAGAATACTTCAACAGTTCAGCTGGCTAACCAGGCTGCTTCATCTGCAACTGAAGCCCCGTGAGCAGTGTCATGCAATCCTCCAACGGAGGCAGAAGTTCGGTCTAGGATTTAAGCTCCAAAGCGAGGCAAGGCAGCAGGACCAGATGAGCTCCCTCCCACTCTTTTCAAGATGGGGGGTGATAACCTCGTAGGCTGTATTTCTGCGCTACATGTGGACGCAAGAGCGAGTTCCTTCATCTTGGGGCGAATCACTGATCCTTCTCATTTTCAAGGATGTCGCAACGACTGTGAAAACCACCGCGGGATCAGTTTGATCCCGATCATCACCAAATTGCTAGCTTCGGTTATACTTCGATATCTGACGCCTTTAAGAGAGACCAACATCCGTAAACAGTGAGCCGGATTCCGACCTGGCCGTATTGATCGAATTTTTACGTTGCGTCAGGTCCTTGAGCTGCGTCACACCCACCGTCAGCGAACGATCGCAGTGTTCCCTGACCTGAAAGGAGCCTTCGACTCAGTTGATCGCGAAGCTCTGATGGGATACCTCCTTCGAAAAGGAATGCCCCAGAGGTCAATGTACTCACATCCCCGGTCGTGTAAGGGTTTGCAACAATTTAAGCAGGCCGTTCGTCACCAGCAGCGGCGCCCGGTAAGGATGCCCTCTTTCGCCGTTCCTGATCGACTTCGTCGCAGAAGAAAAATAGTAGAGCACACTTTGTGTTCTCTAAAACGTAGGTATTGAATGGGAAGCTGGAGAAGAGTTGTGCGATTTAGAGTAAGCCGATGACATCGTCTGTTTGTTTGTATGTATGGAGGACGCGGAAAGCACCCTTGGTTGACTAACAAGTGCAGTTGCTACATTCGGTATGTGCTTTGCACCTTCAAAGTGCCAAATGCTGCTGCAGGACTGGGTTTCGTCTACTCCCACTCCGACACTTAATGGCCAGGATTTAGTTGTGGTGGATTACTTTTCCTACTTAGGTAGTTGCNGCGTGACCAATGACGGTAACACAGCAAAAGAGATAACCGCCCGCATTCCCAAGGCTCGAGCAGCATATACAAGACTGAAACACCTTTGGCGTAGACGCGACATTTCAGTGAAATTTAAAGGTGTATATTGTGCCAGCGTTCGTTTAGTCCTGCTTGGTTGTGAGACCTTGAATTTGCGAGTTGAAGATATCCGTCGACTAGAAGTTTTCGATTACCGGTATTTGCACAGTTTAGCCCTTGGTGGATGAAGCGAACGGGTTAGTAACGTGGAGGTAAGTCGTCGTGTGTTTGGGAGTCTATCAGGTATAAACATGCTAGCATGCCGAATTCAAATTAGTAGACTTCGCTGGCTAAGGCACATATTGTGTATGCCCAGCCATCGTCTGTCGCACCGTTCTTTATTCGCTGTAGCTAATCCGGGCTGGAGGAAACCACGAGGAGGTCAACAGATGACGTGGAGACGAGGCATGAAGAAATGCACAGAACCATTAGGTAGAGTAGGTGTCTCTCGCCTTCCAGGTTGGGGTCTGAAAGACTCCACAACTGGTTGGTTGGAGACATTGAAGGAAATAGCAGCGAGAGGCAGCAGTGGCGTTTTTGTTGTCGTTTCTTATCAGATCAGAATGCTTGAAACAGGGTGTACGCAGAGTTCGATTGGGTACTGTGTGTTGACCATAGTGGCTTATCTTCTCCCTCCCTCAAAATAGATCCAATCCCTGTCCATTTTAAATTTTACCACTTACCTTGTATGCATTGCGAATTTGGCAGCGAGAAGTGAAGTTCGTTTCAATGTATTTCGCTGCACGACGATGATGGTGATGTGACTGCTATACAGGTTAAGAATTAAGGGGGTCGTTTCGAGGGAAACTCAAGTGTACTCCGGCGTTGCACAAGCTTCCGTTATTCTCACTCCTTTACATTGATGATTTTTCACCTCAAACCCTCATTCATCTTCGTGTTATTATTGACACTACCAGTTGTGTCACGACTTCCGCCTAAGTCCGAGTCCACAACTTAACAAAACAAATCATGGTACAAAAATATTTACAATGAATAATTCGATCAGTTGTCATCACAAAACATTTGGCTCTTTGGGGCTTGCTAAGTTGGCTTCTCTAGTCTACTTAACTACGATTACATTCACTAATCCCATCTTGTTTTTTTTTATTAGGGACAAGTACTTGGCGAAGGTTCAATTTAAATGAGGATAAAACACATTTTGAAAGATGGTGCTAGAAACTGGGCCTTTGTTGAAACGAGCAGCTGGTCTTAGGATCAAGCCTGACCCGATTTACCTCACTGGCGTTACACATGCCTTCATTTTATGCTCGCTCGAGTTGGGTGTTAGTTACAGGTACGCTCTTATTACACAATTAACTTTAATTCAAAAAATCCCAAGAAACCAGTAAAACAATTCATAATGAAAAGTTTGTCAAGCGACCTTCTTGAAAGAACGATTAAACGCTTCCAACAGCTACTGGTGGAGCTTCTCCCAGTTCGCCGGGGGTTGAATGGCTCAGAAAAACTATCAAACAGTCATCGCAGATCTGCGATATTGATATCGCGGGGCTACTAAGTCACCCTGCAATATTTTTATATGATTTTTTTATATTTCCATTATACACACTTTGTGCAAAGAACACCAGACGGGGTGAACCCCATAACCGCGAAGACCTGCCAGGTAACCTAAGGCCCGCGACTTCGATTGTACTCGAAAGTTCACCATGGCGGTCCTCATAATAATTACTATGGTTAATTCGCAGTGCATTATACAATATGAAACGAGAAATAAAGTGAACCTATCATAATCGTATCACTTACTTATGTACGGGTATCCAGTTCAGATCCAGCTCGTCCAGAACATACTGGAGAGTCTTGATGGCTCGTTTGAGTACACTGGTGTACGCCACGTCGAAAGTAAGCCCGTTCATTTTTATCAGCTGTCCCGCTTGTTTAGCCTCATTAACGCCTTGAAGCGATAAGTCAGCATCATGCCAACCGCAGAAGCGATTTTCCTGGTTGTAGACGCTCTCTCCATGTCTGATTAAGACAATCTTGTAAGGAGCCATGTAGTTGGTTTTATCTTTAAAAAAGCAGAGTGATCAACAATACAAAGTGAATATAAATGCTCAGACAACTGCAACGTAAAAATAACCAGTAATGTAAGTAACACATGGGCCTACACATCGTTCTATCGATTTATTCAAAACTGCGATCGAAGTCACGTACCACTGCGCAGGAAGGGCAAACCGACTGACCTGATCACAAGGTCACGAAACTACTCCCTTATAATAAGTTTCCGAAAAGGTAGGAAAAAACAAACGCCATGTTCGATTGGGTCAGGTAACAGAAAATGACCACGACGAATGGAGTGTTCGATTCAGGTCAAGAAAGGCCACAGGATTAGTGGCTGTTGACAAAGAGAGTCAGGCGGTACGTTCGCGCGTGGTTTGAAAGTTCACACTGTTTGAGTGTTGAATCCAATCCAATCCAATGTTCCAGGACGACGAAGCCTCAGCCTTATCGTTTCCCTGATTCTGGAACAACCTCGTTGACAGACTGATCGATATGTGCGTTTTTCCGGCTTACAGCACGGTCGATAGTGCAGCGAAACTTCGAGGATACAAGACTCGGATGTATTAGTTGTCGCGCCTCCTTTCGACAATGGTGAAAAAGAGAGAAAACATGTCGCCTTCTCGCTGTGTCGGTGAAAGAGACCTACTTACACATAAGTGTTCCGGGGAATGTGTGTAGTGACACGAACTATCTCTCATTCTACATGTAAACTTACACTCTGGCGGTACGTTCGAATTCGGTTGTATCCTTCGCTGCTCTCGCTATGGTTGGTAAATTTTTCAGTTATTATCAGTTAAAGGTGAACCAGATCATTGATTTATGTTAACAATCAGTTTTATACACAGAGTCAATGTTAACGGTACTAAATAGTAAACGTTGACCTTGCTCTATCTACCAGTAACCTAATAATT